TCTCAATCAACATCAAAATTATAATATATACAAGATTTCCAAAGCTTTGTTGTCTATTCAAATCCTGAATTAATTTATGTACTCATATTTTGGATCCTAACTGAAGCTAATCACTATAATATTTTAATTGGGTTGTAAAATCCATTTTTGTGACTATGACAAATTTAGACATTGAGTAATTATATTCTGGTGTCTTCTTTGTTAGTTTGCTTTTTTCTTAATACATTTGTATTGCAGTCTTGCCTCGCATTAATATGTGTGCTACAAGAATATTATAATTGCTTTTAGCAAAGAGAGATTCTGCATGAAATATTTTTATGACTTCTCAATATGGCAAATTTAGGCATTAAAGTAAATCTCTCTGTCACAATGAATGTTTAATCTGGCTTTTTATAATACTAATAAACATACGTTAGACTGTATTTATTTAAATAAATGCCAGTTTTCCCAGGGGTTCACAGTCATTGTGGTACACAGCTCAATATACTGATGGTCCAACATCTTTCCAGGCTGTTGGTGATTTTTCTATCCCATGGTCGTTGTTACCATTAAGCTTTCCTAAACAAAAATTCCCTCCTTTCTTTTGTAGTTGATGAAGGTAAGAAAGACTCAAGGAAGGACTGTTGGCTGTGATGATGGTGTTCGGTCAAGTATAACTCTTGGTGACCCTATGAACAACAGACCTGAAACCTGTACTATCCTGTGCCATTTTCGTCATCCTTGACACACTTGAGTCCATTGTTCTAGTCATGGTGTCAAGCCAGTTCATCTGGTTGAGGGGATTCCTTTCTTTTGCCAACCATCTATCTTTCCAAGGATGATGTCTCTATCCAAGAAATAGCTTCTCTTAGCAACACACCCAAAATATGTGAGACAAAACTTCGTCATCTTTGCCTCCAAGGAGCACTCTGGCTGCACTTTCTCTAAGACATATACTTGTTCTTTTTTGCAGTCCATGGGATATTCAGTACTCTTTGTCAACACTATAGTTCAAAGGCATCAATCTTCTATCATCCTTGTTTATTGTCCAACTCTCAGATATGTAGAAAGGAATTGAAAACACATTGGTCTGAAACAGCTTCATCTTAGTTTTCAAATTAATATCATTTCTCCTCAGTAATTTTGAGAGGTCCCTGTCTACAGGCTTACCCTGCACAATATATGTATCCTGATCTTTTTTCTTTTCTTTTTTAATGTATTTACCTACAAAGTTTGGTATACATTGTGTTCCACACTATTCTTCATTCACACTGTGTTTCATACAATCATTCTCATGCATCATGTTTAAAAAATCAATCACCATTGGACATTGCCCATCATTATCCTATATTTCCACCCTGTTCCTTCCCCTTCCCTTGCCTCCCTCCATCCATCCAACAAACTGTGCAACTCTGTGGTTTCACTCCTACCTATCCTCACTCCTCTGCTCCCACCCTTCTATCCTGATTTCTTGTTTGTTGCTATTAAGACTGTTGATTGTAGATACAAGTAATATGAAGTCATTGACAGTTTCAATCTTTATCTATTGTGATATTACCTATTGGTCCTGTGGTGAGAATTTTTGTTTTCTTAATGTATTTGTTTTCTTTTTTTGAAGTTTTGTTTTCTTTCTTGATATCAACATCTAGGTATTGCTGAGATTGAGACAAACTGGCTTTAACTACTTTGAATCAGACAACCACATGGTATATACAATGCTGGGAATGAAAAACTGAAAAGGAATTGTATTGCATTAATAGTTAAAACGACAATTTAAGCTCTATCCTGAGTGTAATGCTGTGAGATAGATAGATACATATACATATACATATACATATACATATACATATACAGATACATATACAGATACATACACACACATATATATATATTCATACAAAGAATATCTACTAATATGACCATTATTCAAATCTACACACCAACAGCTAAAGCCAAAAAGAGGAGATGAAGATTTTTCCCAGATTTTGCAGTCCAAAATTGACCAAACATGTAATCACTATGTGTTTACAATAACTGGTGACTGGAATGCAAATGTTGGAAAAAATTAAGAAAGAATAGTTGTCAGGAAGTACAGACTTGATGACATGAATGAGGCCAGAAATAGAATGATCAAATTATGTATGCTCAATGATTTATTCATCGCAAAGAACCTTTAAAAAACCAACAACATGGCAATGAGAAAAACACAACAATGAATGAACGGAAATCCAAAATCTCTGTAAATGTTCATTAAAATTGATAAAATAAAATTTTAAAAAAAACCACAACAAAACACATGGACCTCACATGGTAGACTGCATCAGATTGGCTGCATCTGTGGAAGGAATCACTGGAGAAGCTCATTTTCAGCAATCAAAACCAGGCCAGGTGCTGACTGTTGAACAGATCATCAATTACTCATATGGCATGTTTTAATTGGGGCTGAAGAAAATGGAAATAGGTCCAGGAGAACCAAAATATGATCTTGAGTCTATCCCACCTGAATTTCAAAATCATCTTAAGAATAGGTTTGAAGCATTGACCGCCAATGTCAAAGACCAGACAAGTTGTGGGATGATATTAAGAATATCATCCATGAAGAGAACAGAAGATCATTACAACGACTGAAGAGAAAGAAAAAAGACAAAATGGAAGAAGAGACTGAAGTTTGCACTAGATTGTCAAGAAGCCAAAACAAATGGAAGAGATGCCGAATAGAAGATTTCAAAGGGTAGCTCAAGAAGACAATTATAGCAGAATGTTTGGAGAGTGGGAATTGAAGACTAAAAAGGGAAGAACTCGCTCAACATTTCTCAAGCTGGAAGGACTGAAACACAAATTTAAGCCCTGAGTTGCAATACTGAGAGCAGCTATGGGAATTAATGTTAGAGGAAACATTAAAAGAAGGTGGAGGGAATACATAGAATCACTGTACCAAAAAGATCTGGTCAACACTGAAATATTTCAGAAAGTGCCATATAATCAAAAGCCAATGGTAATGAAGGAAGAATTCACTGAATGCATTGGTGAAAAATAAGGCCCCAGGAATCAGTGAAATACAAATTGACATACATACCTTCACATGCTCACCAGTATGTCAGGAAATTTGGAGGGCAGCTGCCTGGGCATGGGACTGGAAGAGATCCATATTTGTTCCCATTCCCAAGAAATATAATCCAACAGAATGTGAAAATTATCAAACAATATCATTAATATCACATGCAAGAAAAATATTGCTGAAAATAATTTTAAAATGGCTAGAACAGAATATATAGAACTGTAAGAAGTTCAAGCTGGGTTTAGAAGAGATCGTAAAACCAAAGATATCACTGCTGGTGTCAGACAAATCCGGGCTGAAAGTAGAGAATACCAGAAGAATACGTATTTGTGCTTTCTTGACTACGCAAAGGCACTGGACTGTGGATCATAACGAACTGGCTAACATTGAGAAGAATGGGAATATCCGAGCACTTAGTTGTGCTCATGTGAAACCTATAACTAGGCCAAGAGCTGTTTTTCAAAACAAAGCAGGGGAACATTATTATATGATTTAAAATTAAGAAAGGAATGTATCAGAGTTGTATCTTTTCTCCATATCTATTCAAGCTTTATGCTGAGCAAATTATTCATGAAACTATACTCTAAGAAGAATGTGATATCAGGATTGGAGGAAGACACATCAACAACCTACACTAAGCAGATGATACAACCTTGCTTGCTAACGGTAAAGAGGATGTTAAGTGCTTGCTACAGAAGATCAAAGAATGCAGCCTTTAATATGGATTACATCTCAACTTCAAGGTAACAAAAAAAAACCTCTCAAGAAAAGGATGAGTGATTCAAAACGCATTGGTTACCTGAAAACCTAAGCTAATTTGATCCATAATGACATATTTTTCCTTAGATTACATTTTTTGTTTAACTAAGTATCCACCCTACATCTCTACTTCATTTACTTTCATTTAAATTTCTTGGATTTGAAACCATTTCTCTCCAACTGCATATAATATGAGCTTGTTTTTATATAGCATCAAACCAGCAACATCCAAGTCACCTGGGAGCATGCTAGAAACGCATATCCTATGCCAGGCCTATTAACTCAGAATCTGCATTTTATCAAGGTCCCAGATAACTCAGATGAAATCTTGGGTATCTTAATAAAATGTCAAATCTATCTATAAGTCAAATTAATTTCCCAGGAGAATAGCTACTGGGTACCCTGTCAGACATAAAGCAGATAATAAAAAAAAATACTTTGTGGACTGAATTTTTCAATTCATAAGAAGAAAAGAGTATTTGGACCATTAAGGAATGAGAAGCAAGCTTAGAATTTTTGGCTAAAAATGACTTTCCAGAACTCAGATCTTGAAATGATAAACTCCTTCATCTACAACCTTCCCCTTCATCTTCTCCATCCTTCTTATCTCACCAAGCACAGTGAATAGGAGGGAAATATCCATTTATTTGAATGCAAGTGTGTCAACAATACACAGGGAGAAGGGATATAAGGGTCTTCTTGCCACACAAAATAGCAATGAATCAGCCTAATAGAATTGTCAAGATGTGGTGGTTTGTGGCAAGATTTGCAGCTCACCATGTCTGGCTCCAGAAAGCTCTGTCCATTTCTTGAAATTGGGCTCTAGCTGAGATGACTTCAGTGTTCCTAAAAGTGGTTTGTGCTGCTGAGCCAAAGGTTGATTGTGTATTTATCCGGAGCTGCTTTCAGTATTTTCCTCATGTGCTATGATGCCCTCGGTGCTTCTTTTCATTCAGAATAAGGCAGTTAATTAAGTAGGTGTTAATAACTCGAGACATTTGGGGTGGAAAGTGAATAATATGAGCAGCCCAGGTCCTTTCCAAAAGGTTGGATCTGCATGAACCCTGTTAAGTGAGGTGCCTGTGCCTCTTTCTTATTTCTTAACTCAGTGGGACATTGCTGGCTATTTCTGTCCTTTAGGAAACAACAGCAGGGTGATGTATAATAGCAGGGCTTCTAACCAATATTTCATTGTGTTGTGTAGGGACCACGCAAGCTCTGTGTTAAGGAGATGAACAGTGGCATGGCGAAAAAGCAGGCTTGGCTTATAAAAAACAAAATCAAGGCCTTTTATGCGGCAGTGGCAGCAGACTGCTTCAGAGATGGTGTCCGAAGTCTCCTTCAGGTAAAACTGGCATTGAGGGAGTGCACACAAAGGCAAAAGACAATTAGTGCTCCAAGTTAATGACGTTTGAAGGAAATGGATCTGTCAGACAGCCTATATCAGAGATCAATGCAGGTGGCTAAGGAATTCATTTTCTAATTCCTGGGGATAGGCAAAGCTAAGACAAAAGGAGAGAGGCTCTGTTACAATGAACTCTGAATGATACACTGAAAATGGGAAATGAGGTTGCCTTTGGCCACCGCATACATTCTGTCTCCATGCTTATTGAAATGCAAATTTGTTCTGATGGTTGACGACATTCAGGATCCTATTAAAACTTCAAACTATTTTTGCATCTCATACTGCATATAGCAATGCTCTAGTCAGGCATTCTTTTCCTTTTTCTCTTTTGCAAATGGTGTGAGGGCAGCTGCTAGACTCAGCTAAATAAATGCGTAGTGAGCTGGGCATAAAGTCTCCCTATATTTCTAAATGATTTCCAGAATGCTGAATAAATTCTAACAAATTCTGCAGTTCAACACCAAGCCCACAGTTCACCTGTCTTTTCCTCCTTATTCTTTCCTTTCTCTTCCCCTTCCTTAACCCACCACTGAAAGCTATGTAGAATCTGCCTCTAGTTGGTTTTTTTTAATACAATCTTTATTTTATACTGGTTTAATTACAAACTTTGTATACAGTATTTTTCACATGGGATCTGAATTACTAATCTTTTCTTTTTCTTGACTACTTAAGCATCAGGATTGTCTGGATGCTGTCCTGAGTTCTGACAATCTTGAATGTGGCAACCCTAAAAAGCAAGAACTAATGCATTGTGCCATTTGGTAGACTTAGAATTGAAACTTTTAATCATAACAGCAAAAATGATTCAGAAGTAAATCACTCTAGTTTCTGAGGGTTGCTTGGATTGTTTTAAGGATTCTCTGGTACTCAGCTGTGAGCATCAAAGCTAGAGGCAGGATCTTCCCCCTTTCCTTCTCAATCTTGCCTTAAATTCCTTCAGACCACTGTACACACCCTGCTTCTATCTCAGAGTGCTTAACGTAATGTAATATTATGCAATTAATAGGTGCTTGATAAGACAGCCAAATTAAACTCAATTTATTGCAAGCCATGTCCTATTATCTGATGGGGGAGGAGAATGAAACTTTTGATAAAAAAGATGGCTATTAGTGATACTGCCTTGCTAGAAGATTAAACTCAGAAAGTGTAACCCAGTTAGTTTCTAATAAATAATACAAGTAGACATTTCAGTGATCCTTGAATAGAAGAATTTTCCAAACATGGATTTTATTGCCAATGACATTATGGACATAATAGGTGAAACTGAGTTTTGAACCACTAAGTTACAACACACACACTAACAGCTAATCTGGTCCCCACTTGATTTTAAATTATTGAACCATTTTAATGAGTGTGTCAGAAGAAATGCAAATGACTGCTAATTTAGAAAAGCTACATTTCTGTCATCTAAAATCCATTTATGGCTGAGATGATTTAGAACTAATCTTCCTATTTTATGCTTGGGTACAGCCATGAAGGACATGCACTGAAATGTAATCTAATCTTCAGAATCTTCAGAATATCACTTCAGTGCTCTTTTGGACATTATTTTTAATTTGCGATGGTGTTTTACTGGTGTGGTAAAGACTGCTCATGTTTTTATGTCCTCTGTTTAGGCCTCAGGCTTGGGAAGAATGAAGCCAAACACTCTGGTGATTGGATATAAAAAAAACTGGAGGAAAGCACCCCTGACAGAGATTGAGAACTACGTGGGAATCATACAGTAAGTGATGGCTTTCAAGATGTATTCTTTCTTATAAAGCACTAACCAGGGCAGTGCAGAACAGACACTGTTAGATCAGATTAAACAGCCTGAGACAAGCACATTTCCTTGTTACTCTGAATTCTTTACCAATGTGAAAAAAGAAAACCGTGCCAATAATGGAATTTTTCAGGCTCAGTGTAAAGAAGAGAGATGAGTGGGGAGAAGTATAAAGGCCCAACAAAAATGTAAACAAAACAATGACATTTATTTATAAGATTAAAAGTGAGAAGTGCTAGGTAAGGGAAATATTTTTCTTTAAAAACACCTGGTTGACTGGCATACCCACTTCAGTCAATGTCTTCTTGGCCTTGGATAATGTGTTCACTATCACTTGTAATGGCAGTCAGGCGATTAGGAGACATATTGCATTGGGAAAGTCTGCAGTTAGGGACCTCTCCAAATACTGAGGAGTAATGATATCAGTTTGAAGACTAAGATGCACCTGATTCAGGCCATGGTCTTTCTAATTACTTGCTATGCATCTGAGAGCTGGAAAATGAATAAGCATGAAAGAAGAATTGAGACCTTTGAGTTGTGTTGTTGGAAAAGAGTACGGAATATATATATAATGGACAACCAAAAAAATGAACAGCTATGTCTTGGAGAAAGGAAAGCCAGAGTGCTCCTTGGAGGCAAAAGTGACAAAGTTTTGTCTCACATACTTTGAACATGGTGTTAGGATTGGCTATTCCTTGGAGAGGAATAACCAGATGGATTAGCACAATGCCTACTTCAATGGGCTCAAGTCTGAAATAATGAGGATGACACAAGATAGGTCAGAGTTCAGGTCTGTTGTTCATAGGGTTGTTACGAATTTTACTTGACTTAACATGACCTAACACATCAACAACAAATCCCAGGCGTCACAGTTCCCTCTGCTGATATGGGACCAAAGGAAGTTTTTAAATGGAATATAACATCTAATATCTAAATATTTGAAGAATGCTTACTTCGGCAGCACATATACTAAAATTGGAACGATATACAGAAGACGAGCATGGCCCTTGAACAAGAATGACATGCAAATTTGTAAAGCATCCCATATTTTTAAAAAAAAAAGAAAATTTTGAAGAGTCTTGAGGTAGAGGGAATACTGTTAATTTTATATATCATTGAGTCAGAACTAACTCAAAGTTGACCCTCCAGCAGGATCTCAGAAGCAGTAAATCACACAGAGGATGTCTATCTTTCTCTCATGGAGCAGCTGGTAGGTTCAAACTGAGTACCTTTGAGTTGGCAATACAACTTTTTACTACTTAGCCACCAGAGAATACCAACAGTACTTAAAAGTCTAGCTGAAGCTGGTTAACATCCTTAGCATGAATTATCCCACTTAATTCATACAAAATGCCTTTGAAATAATCACTATTTTTGTTCTCATTTTATTAATGAACAAACATTAAAATTTAGCAAACGTGCTGAAAAATCTGTTATTAACTGATGTGATTGGGATTTTAAACTATGAACATTAGAATTTAAAACTGAAATTTACCACCATAACATTATATATACATACTCAAGTATTATGGGCTCAGTTTTTATTTTCTTTCAAAACAGAGAATATCAATTATATGCATTTAGAGAGAATCAGGGCATCATCAGTGAGCCTTATAGATAATCAGACCTTTCTTCCAAACTTGAAACAAATTAACCAAACTTTCAACCCAACAGCCATCTTGGCACATGGAATGTTTCCTGTATCTGGGGTGTCACTTTGCCCTGATTTTATTTCACAAGGTACAGATGATGCCTAAGCAGAACAGCTGCACTGATAAGTCCGTACATTACAGGGAAGAAATGCTTACCCATTCAAAATAAGTATATACTTAATGCTTCTTATGCTAATGCATTTCCCCTGCCTTCTGCTAGACTGGACATCACATTTGTCATTATTTTGGGGAGATTTATACAACATCAAAACCAAAGCATTCTATTATTAGTTCTACTGTAAAAATCATAAGAAAATTATTTTCATATTCTGAAATTATGTGCATTACTGACCAAAGTGTGTTTTACTTTGCAGCAGTATTCCTAACACAGAGGAACTAGATATTATGTGTATTCTCATAAATTATGTTTCTCAAACATGTGTGGCTCCTGGTAGTGCTCTAAATGCCATATGTCAACATGTAAGAGGAGTTAGCTTTAGTTAAAGCCCAGTCAGCTGATCAAGGTCATCCTCTTGTCAACAACCGGGCTCAGCCAACATTATTTAGAGGTACTAAGATCAGTTGCTCATTCTTCTTTTATCTAGATCTTTCAGTAAAATTCCATTTTTCTACGAACAAGAACAACAATAAAAGGTAAAAGAAAAAAGAATCTAAAATCTTTAAATCTACAAACAAAACATCCATTATTTAATGCAATATTATTTTGGATCATCTTCCAACCTTCCCATCCCAAAGACAGGCAAAGGGACCACATAATCAGATCCAGTCACACGGAACTGAAAGGACCTCTGGATTTTAATTCCCTAACATTCTCTCTCTCTCAGTGCCTGGGAAGTGACTCATAGTTGACCCTCTAGATGGTTTCCAAAGCTGTAAACTGCACAGGAGGAGATTGCCTGTCTTCCTCCCATAAGCCACTGGCAGATTTGAATCGCCAGGCAGTCGCCTCATTTGGATTAGTAGTAAAGTTCTTTATGGACTGTGACCACAGAGAGCTTTCTTAAGATTCTAGTCATTGAAGATGCTGTTGAGCATAGCTCTACTATGAAGCACTTGGGGGTTACAGGGATCAGATCCAACTGACTTTTAAAGTAAAAATCTGATTCTGGGTAGAGGCTGCCTGCACATGTTGATCTCGTGCCCTCTTCTTCACTCTCCAAACCTAACAGCGTGGGTTAAGTTCTCCCACAGTGTCACTCTGGCCTCATCTTTTGATTCTTAATTTTACATTTAAGGAAACCTGTTATCTGATCGGAGTGTCACAAAGTTGATATCATCCATTACAGTGATGGCACAGTGCCCCTATTGACCACCTTCTGTATAAGACCACACAGAATCGTTGTTGTGAGATGCCCGAGTTGAGTATGACTCATAGGGACCCTATGAATAAAAGATCTGAACCCTGTTCTGTCGTGTGCCATCCTCACACTTCCTGACACACAAGAGCCCCTTGAGACAGTCACCACATTAATCCACCTGGTTGAGGGTCTTCCTCTCCTTCACTGACCTGCCACCCTTCCCAGCATCATGTCCTTCTTCAAGGAATAGCCACTCCTAGAAACATTTGTATTGTTTATTATAAATTTTAATAATAGAATACTATATTCTTAAATTTAATTTTAATAATTATAAAATACTTAAATACAATATTTTTAGATTATATTAATATTAATAACAAAATTATTTTGCTATGTATTTAATTACAATGTTAATTATAATATTGTTATTAACTGAAGAGATCTGCTTGGCTTTGCTCTTCATTTTCTTTTCATTATCATTTAATTCTTTTAAAAGTTATCAACATTATCACAACTTTTTGTGGTAATTTCCACAATATGGTAGCTAAAACAGAAAATTTGATGAAATTAGCTACTATTTAAAGCCACTAGCAACAATGACAAATAGCAGGAGCTTATAGCACATGTAGGCAAAGCACTTAATTCAAGCCTTACTACAATTGGGTAATCACGACCGCTCTCATCAGTGTTAGAAGGTTCCAACATAGAGGCTTAGCCTTGTAGGTAGCATGATACACGCAAGCTAGGTTTATGAAACTGTTTTTTTTGTTATTGTAACAAAGTGAAAGGATATTTTTATTAAAATAATTAATAAACTGCTAAACTGTACAAACATGAAATAGCCATTTTTGTGCTTCCTCTGACAGTGTCATTCAGGGTCCTCTGGACCTCCTTAATGACATCACTGTTTGTAATCACATTCGGCTCACTGGATAATCCAAGATGATCTGCCTACCTTAAAGTCCTTCATCATGTCTTGGTCACATAATTATTTAATCACATCTACAAAGTCCCTTTTGCCCTATAGTGTAATATATTCATATTCACAGGCTTTAGCAAATAGGGCAAAAATATTTTTAGGAAGCCATTTTTCCATTTAACACAAGACCTAAATATTTTTTTGGTAGACTAACTGCTGAGAGAACTAACAGATCCATCCTAGAGAGGGTTAAATCAGGCTGCTCGTTGAAGACAAGGATTTTGAAGCTTCATCTGACTTACTTTGGACATGTAGCAAGGAGGAACAAGTCCTTGAAGAGGGACATCATGCTTGTGAGGGTGGAGGGACAGTGCAGGAGATGAAGACCCTCAAAGAGATGGATTGATTCAGTCTCTGGGATAACAGGGACAGAGACAAGATTGGCACAGGATAGAGCAGGATTTAGGGATGTTGTCCACAGGGTCACTATGAGTCACAGGCAACTCAACAGCACATAACAACAACAATTTTGTCTATTTTTTCCTTGGTTGTTTTTTGTGGGGTCCCCCCCCCTAGTAATCAAGGATAATCAAGAATTTTCTAGGATAATTAGTTTGTTAAGTGAACAAATGATTTTTAGCTTGAATTTTGGGCAGCTATTCTTTTACACAGACTTCTTTTACCATCTGACTAACTAGGTTTACTTTTCCCATAAAAAAAAAATGTGTCAAAAAATGATACAGTTACAAGCTGCACAGGAGGGTGACCCTATGGGAAGGGTATCTGGATTTTTCAAGTCTTAAAAGAGTGACAACTCCTGAGGAGAAAATTTTAAATGTACTCAAAGAGTCAATTGCTTCAATTTCCAAGTTAGAAACAGAAAACATACTCTGAGCACAGAGAAAGCCCTTCTTTCCTTTTCTAGATAATCTAATTCCATTGAGTTAGGTGTAGAGGCACAAAATACATCTCCTGCTACCTAGAGGTGCTGTGATAAAGCATTGCCTCAAACAACCTCTCCAAACTCAATGGCAAAATTCTTTAGAGGTACTGAAGAGATTTTTAGCTAGGAAACTAATATTGTAAGTATTGATGAAAGATTCCTCCTTAATAAGTAGAAAACTGACAACTTCAAAGCATCTTTGTAGTTTGAAAGCTTTCTATTCTAAACATTTTGGAGATTGTTTTTCCTACTTTTTTATAAATAAAAAAATTACATTTTTATTTTACATTGGTTTGCTTGCAAAGTCATATACATTCTTTCACACTATCCTTCTTTCACATTGTGTTCCATACAATCATTCCCATTCATTATATTTCATGTAATCAATCAACACTGAGCTATGCCCACCATTGCCCCTGTATTTCCAGATCCCCACCGGATCTTTCCCATTTCCTTACCCTCCCCTCCCTCCACCCATCAAATGGTGCATTAAATCACAGGGTTGCACAATTTGGTTTTTCCTACTTTACATGTAAAAATATCTTAGGCAGAATTCTAGTTGATAGTATTCTTCTAATAAGTTGCCTCCAGCATGAGTGATTGGGCTTACGTGTTGGGCTGCTAACTGAAAGGTTGATAGTTTGAATCCATGAGGTGCTCTATGTGAGAGAGATGAGCAGTAGATTTGTAGCCTCAGAAACCTGCTGGAGGATTGATATGAGTTGGAGTTGATCATACTACAGTGTGCTTGGGTTTTGGTACTCGGGCTACAGTAGCATAAATGTTCATGTCCTTCAATACTGCGTTGTAAGGTTAGCAGTTTAAACCCACACAGAGGTCCATTAGAAGATAGGCCTGGTGATTTACTTCCAAAGGGTCAGAGCCTTGGCAAGCCCTCAGGAATGCCACCACGGGGAAGAACTGACTGGATGGTTTGGATTTAGTTTTTACCCAAGATGAAAGAACAAACAAGCAGAAATAGTACCAGTTCTTGACTTCATTCTAAAGTGTGACTGTCAGTGGTTTGATCTCACGAATGATTGTATGGAAAACCAATTGCTCTGTAAACTTTCACTCAAAGTCCAAGAATTTTTTTTAAATAGTTGAATTTTCTATCAAAATCCTAGGAGCAAGTTTTGTATTAGTTCAGAACTTGAGGAGTAGAGGAGCCATTTCAATCACTAACCATTCTGTTTCATTTTCAGCGATGCATTTGATTTTGAAATTGGTGTGGTCATAGTCAGAATCAGTCAAGGGTTTGACATCTCTCAGGTTCTTCAGGTTCAAGGTAGGTGCTTTTATTCAATCAGCAAACACTGACTGAGCCCCTCCTCTGTGCATGCCACTGTTCGAGGGGCTGGGTGTCCAACAGGGGGTACAGCTGATATCCCCATGTGTGTGCTCCTCCTCCTCCCCCCAATGTATTCCTCATGGACAACACAAGTGACCTTTGTCCTGCTAATCAGAAATATAGAGTAATTCAAGGTAGTCATCAATTACTTCTCTTATCACAAAAACACAAAGCCAGCATCACTGAAAAAAAGCACCTTTAGTGAAATAAACTGCTGAATTAATTTCTGCAAGATGTTTCAGAAAATGAAGATTAATTATTTCCTTGGAAAAACATGCATTATGTTTTTAAGAGACCATGGTCTGGTTTATAGTGAACACGGAAATGAGCCTGAGTGCATCGTGCTGTAAATCACTAATCCAAGTAGGAGGCAGAAACGCTAATTCAGATTAGTGACTCTGCTTTTTTCTACTCGAGGACTTGTTATAATTTGTTTAGTTTTAGAATTTAAACATAAGCTCTGTGTATGAAATAATGACTACACCCATGATGTCACCGAAAGATTAGGACAGTAAACCAAGTCATGGCTTACCCTCTTCACCTGAACTTTATAAGACCAAAGAAATGCTAAATCTATTGAACACATGATGTGCAGATTTATTTCTGTGTTAATTTCATTATTTCAACAAATATTTTTGGAGGGATCTCTGGTGACCTAGTCATAAGAAGCTGTGCTACAATCCCAAAGGCATGTAGTTTGAGTCCGCCAGACTCTCTACAGGAGAAAGATGGGCAGTCTCCTCCTGTGCAGTTAACTGCCTCTGAAAACCACCTGAGGGTTAGCTGTGGGTTGGTTCTGACACAATGGTACACAACAACTATGGATCAGGGAATTCTGGTGGTGCAACTGTTGAGATTTGGCTGCTGACCAGAATGGTAGCGGTTCAAACTAATAGGAGTTCTGTGGGAGAATATATTTGAAAATTTGTTCCTGTAAACATGTTTCTTAAACTCACTGCCATTGAGTAGATTCCAGCTCATAACAACACTATAGATTACAATTTAGAAAACAGGTTGAGGCAATTATATTCTATCCTACAGCATTGCTATGAATCGAAAGTAACTCTGTGGCACATAGTAACAACTAGGAATCAAAGGAACTCTGATGATTGAGTGCTTGGCTGCACACTGAAAGGCTGGCAGTTCAAATTCATTCACCAGTTACTCAGGAGAAAGTACTGACAATCTGCTATTGAAAACATTACAGCCTAGGAAAAACCCTATGATACAGTAATAGATGGCCACCTGAAGTTGCTTAAGGTTGCAAAGGGACTTGAATAAAAACAGGTGTGGGTTGCTTTTGTTGTTGTTATGTGCCGTCTAGTAACCTGCAACTCATGGTGACCCTATGTACAACAAATCTCAAGCCTGCCCAGTCCTGAGCCAGTCTCACTGACTCCGACACACCTACCCTCATTACCCCAGTCACTGAGTCAATCCATCTTATCCAGGGCTTTCCTCTCCTGCACTGTCCCTCCACCCTCCTGAACATAATGTCCTTCTCCAAGGACCGGTCTCTCCTGGCCACGTGCCCAAAGTATGTGAGGCAGAGCTTCAAAATTCTAGCTTCTAAGGAGAAACTTGGTTTCACCCTCTCCAAGACAGACCTACCAATTTCTTGGTGGTCTACGGTATAGAATATGGTTAATGCAAGGACTCAAGAAACTTAGCATGCAAAATTTGTATATTACTTGCACAGTTTTATGGGAAAGAAAGAAGAGGAACTTAACTCTAAAAGGGACTTTTGGTAGAAATTACCCTTTACATAGAGAGTTAGTGTATTAGTAGGAGTTACTTAGGTTTCTCAATTCTTAGATCTGTCATAACAAATTACCACACACTGGGTAGCTTAAAACAACAGCGATTTACTTTCTCACAAGTCTGAATTCAGAATGCCAGTAGGCTCATCCTGTCCCTAGTGGCAATAGCAGAATGTCTTTCCTTGTCTGTTCCAATTTCCAACAGGAGTACAAATTCCTCAGTTTGTGGCAGCAAGACTCCAGTTACTACTTCTGTCTTTACATAGTTGTCTTTCCTCTGTGTCTATGTTTCTTCTTATTCTTCTTTTTTTTTTTTAATAGGGAAACTAGCTGTATTGGTTTAGGGCTCATTATACTTCAGTATGACTTGACACTAATTTAACTAGTTATATTGAGGAAAGATCCTATTGCCAAAAAAAGTCACATTCCAAAATATCAGGTATTAGGACGTACATTTTTAAGAAGCATAATTCAACTTCAATAGTATGCAATGCTGGAGGAAAGAAAAACTGGCAAGGAGTTCAGAGAATGTCATTCCTGACAAAGAGTACTTCAGAAAAGGCATATAGAGACGACACGGAAGCCTGGAGGAAGAGGCACACGGCCAACTGAAAGTAGGTTAGTATTTCTGAAAAGAAATCTAAGATGCAGAGAATAGTAAAAGATGAGATTGCTGATATGAGAAGGAACCAAATTAAAACTATCTCCCTGGCCATATCCAAAATCTGGGCCATATACTGTAGCCAGTGGGGAACCATTCAAGGGATTTAAGTGTAGGAATCTGTGGTCTAATGTGGGTTTCAGGTCACGTGTTTTGGGGATTCTACTGGGCATGGACTAAAAAGTAATCAGAGTAGAAACCAAGAGACAAGGTGAAAGATGACAGACTGAACTGGGGCTGCCTCAGTAGGGATGGAGAGGAAAGGGCAGAATTTGGAAGTACTTAGGAGATAAAAGGCAGATGGGATGTGTGAAATAAGGATAAGGATGTAGTGAAGAAAATATTTTTGACTGATTTGATGAATGGTTGATCAGATGGTGACTGTTGTTGTTATGTGCCGTCAAGTCATTTGTGACTCATAGCGACCCTGTGTACGAGAGCCCTAAACCATGCTCTATCTAGAGCCAACTTCACTGTCTCTGACACACCTACTCCCATTACCACAGTCACTGAATCTATCCATTCGATCCATTTCCTAAGCTGTCCCTCCACTGTCCCAAATATGATGTCCCTTTCCAAGGACTGGTCCCTCCTTGCAACATGTCCAAAGTATGTCAGTTGAAGCTTCAGAATCCTTGCCTCCCGGGAGCAGCCAGTTTCAATCACTCCAGGATGAACCTGTTTGTTCTCGTAGCAGTCCGTGGTGTATTCAACACTCTTCTCCAGCATGCCACCAATAGAAATGTGAAATGCTTGAGGAAGCACAGGTATAATAAAGAGATTCCTGACACAATTTTAAACAAATTCTGTTGGGAATTCCTAAAAGAGTTAATTGTTTTAGTCACATTCTTAAAGAAGTAACCAGGAAATAATAGATTTAGGAGACATCATAATTCAGGTAAAAATTGAAATCCTAGCACTCAAGAAAGTAGCATAAAGGACATATATGCTCAAGAATCCAAAGCCAATAAGAAAGACCTCAAAGAGTCATGATCTTAGCAATTGCTTGCTTTGCATCAGAGAGCTGGACAGTTACTAAGAATGACAGAAGAAGAATCAATGCCTTCAAGCTGCGGTGCTGGAGAAGAGTCTTGAACATACCACGGACCACTAAGAAAATAAATAGTTCTGTCTTGGAGAGGGTGAAACCAAGTTTCTCCTTGGAGGCTAGGATTGTGACGCTCCATCTCACATACTTGGGGCACATGGCCAGGAGGAACTGCTCCTTGGAGAAGGACATCATGTTGGAAGGGTGAAGGGACAGCACAGGAGAGGAAGACCCCACATGAGATGGATTAATACAGTAACAGGGGTAATGGAGATAGGTGTGTCGGAGTCAGTGACACGGCAGAGTTCAGAGCTGCTGTACATAGATAGGATCGCTATGAGTTGCAGACAACTTGACAGCACATAACAACAACCACCAAAGCAAACCCACTGCTGTAGAGTGAATGCCAACTTATAATGATCCACAGAACAGAGAAGCCTGCCCTTTGGTTTTCCAAGGCTGTAAATCTATGGAAGCAAACAGCCACCTCTTTCTCCTGAGGAATAGCTAGTGGATTTGAACTGATGACTTGCCAGTTAGCAATCCAGGGTTGACTCCACCACACCACTATATAGGCTCCTCAGACTGGGCGTTGTCTACCTTATCCAAAATTGGCACCTCCAGTCCTCTCTTTCTAGGTACCTTTTCCATTTCTAGATCACTATTCAAATACCCACTCACTATTCTTCGTTAATTTTGAACATGTTTTCTTAGTTGAATCTACTAAGTGACAAAATCTTACATACTTGAGACCTTTCATGTTCACATGTATTGTCTTACCGGCTACCCTATGAAGAAAATACCATTATTATCCCCATTTTACAACTAGTAAAAGTGAGACTAACCCTGACTCACAAGGTCAGTAATTCGTAAAGCTGAAATTCAAACCTCTGTCTCTTTGAAGACAGAAAGCACTCTTCAACCTTTTTAAAAAAGAAGTGGAATGAGGACTTACAGAATGGTGGCAGTGGTGAAATCAGAGATCTAGTAGTGGAGTGGCACTGTATCCATGTGCACTTTAGAACACCCTGTACAGCAGATTGCCACTTCGAGGGCAATTATAAGTTGCTAATATGAGGAGACCTATCTGCTTCCAACTTCCTCAGTTTTGCTTTGATTTTTCATCCTTTGTGCTGTAAATACTTTCTGTAGTATTTTCCCACCTAAAAAAACTGAGAACACAAGGCACAATTTTATATTTAGAGTACACATTTGCTTTGTATGTTGTGTCGATCTCTTCAAGCTGAAAGATGTGATGTAGCTGAAAGATAATGCCCCCACCCATCGCTATTCTATCCACCAAAATGCACCATCAATTTCATTCTACAAAGCAATATAGTAGATGACTCCTGTAGTATTCCTAAAAGAATCCTAGCAGTGAACTGCATCCCCTTTTAATTTCCCAGGAGACACAGCCTATTTAAATCAACTTTGATGTCTGAAATATTTCTGCTTCTTAGCCAAGAAA